ACTTGTCACTTTGATACATGACCGAGGTCCCAAATTTCTATGCATTCAAAATGAACTTGGGTTAACCGAGAGACAACCGTTTTGAGACAAAAGCAGGCTGCCCAGCCACCTGTCAAATGATTAAGATGATCCTGGGTAGAGTGGAAGGAGTTTTCGCTTAACGGGCTTTCGTGTCTAGTAGCAGTGAATCATAGATATCTCCAGACAGGAACCCAGGTATATCAACGATAATAGAGGAAAAAATGGTAATAAATCATAGTAAGATACTATCCTTAGTTCTTAGGAATAGGTCAATGCGTCTCTTAAAGGGCTCCTGAAAAGTCTCTTAGACTAGCTCAGCTGGCACCGAAGTTCAGCATTTGACAACTCTTTAGGAATAAAAGTTGTGTCTACAACCCGTTCTTCTGTGTTGTGTATCTAGTTTCTGGAACCTACTCCTTAGGGTTCTAGTGGAGCTAAACTTAAGTAGGTGTTTAAGGGGATGTTCAGAAGTGTTAAGGATACTATAAGCCATTAGAATGTTACCTTTTGAACGTCTATAGTCTAGTGGATAAAGGTTTAGTGACTAGCGGTGCTCTTCATATGGCTCGCCGTTGGATACGCTCCAGAGTGTCCTTATCCTTTTGGATTGAGGGAAGAAATACTATGTTTCCGTACTCTAAATGGGGATGAACAAGACTGTTGAAGATTATGTGGAAATTGTCTCCTTCGAACTGGCCGAAAAGGCGCTTTGATGTTACCAGTGCAAGGTTTGCTCGAAGGGCACTTTTCTAATAGTTAGTGCAAGACTTCAAGTCATAGGGTACCAACACTCCTAAATCTTTTACTTCTCGGAATAGCTTTAGAGAGGAGTTTCCTAAGTTGTAACTGCAGTCTGCAAAATGTCTCAGATGGACTACTTTGCACCTTGAAGCATTAAAGGTAAGTTTGTCGTCATCTGCCCAAGTTTGAAGTCGAGTCAGATCCTCTTGAAGTGTCAGTTTATCCTCTTGGTTGAGTACCTCTCTCGAAGGTTTCACATCATTAGCAAAAAGTAATAAGTCAGACGATACCTGTTGTGGAAGATCATTTTCATAAATCAAGTAAAGAAGAATTTCTAGTACTGAACCCTGGAAGACACCACCAGGACTTTCGATAGACCGAGAGAAAAGGAAGGTAAACCTGACCTTCTAGATATGAAGTGAGCCAATCAATTAAAGATGACTTGATACTTAGTCGTTTAAGCATATTGATAAGACATATATGGATAACCCCATCAAACGCTCTTTAGAAGTCGAGGTGAATGAAGTCGAACTTCCTCTTGAGACAAGGGATGGTTGTTCATTTGTACACCTTGGTCGGCGGGGTGGTTATACAAAAACGACAAAACCTGAAACCATGCTTCTGAGGTGAGAAGAAGTTTAAGGACAATGAATTGTCGTGTATACAGTCGTATATCAGGAACTCCATTACTTTTGAAGGTACGAAGAGAAGAGCCACTGTTCACTAGCTTGAAGTTTCACTGCATCGACCTTCTTTGAAAACTGGTGTGATGTGAGCCAGCTTCCGAATTTCCGATAACGTGCCTCGGCTTAGCGAGTGCGATAACACCACGCTGAGCGGCGTTATCAAAATTGAAGCTGATTTGCTCAGCATAGCAGAATGAACCATATCCGGACCAAGAGAATTGTCTTTTTTGGGTGCCGCAGTTTTCGGTACATCAAGTCAGTGTTCAGGTTCAATTCGGAAAAAAGTCCCGTGCAGTCACAAATGAAGCTTTTATCAATACGGTTAATGTGGGTCGATTGAAATGTCCGGAAGTGCTGTCATGCCAGAAGGTTGGCGGCGTCACCGTCGTTATTAGTCGGGCCGTTAGGACATAACAGTTCGGAAACTTCAGTTTTGGCTTGTCTAAGAGAAGCTGCACGGCAGAATAAGCTTCTCGGATTGGAGACAAACTTATCGATAAGCTGTATCTGGTACTGAAACCTGTCTTCTCTTACTACATTTGTGCATATATTCCTTAATAGTTTGAATTGCCTGTACACTCCCTTGTTATCAGTTCGTTTGTGTTCCGCACAACAGTGTCTTTTGCGGCTTTGCAAGTGAAGAGTGCGGTTCTTCGTGACTGTAGGTTGCTTGTAGAATTCGGGAACCATTTGAAGAACAGACTGCTATGTAGCATATAAGATCACATGCAGTAAGAAATCCTAATGAGTATCCACATCAAGTTGATGGTGAGTTTGCCAATCCACTTGTTGTAGATTGTCCTGTAAAGCTGACACATTCAACCGTTTAAAATTCCAGCGCCTGTTGTTGGTGAAATGTCTTAGCTCAGTTTGGCTAACAAAGCTGAAGGCTATGACGGTGTGATCATTTTTCCTCAGATGAGCTATTTGTTGAGAGGTTGAGATGACATCTCAAGGAGGTAGATAATCTTACTGAGAACCATGCGGATTCATCAAGATTGACAAACTCTTGCTTATGCAGTTGATGTACTTGTGTTATATCTTAAAGGCTGATTTCTTGATATACCGCGTATAACAGAGCACTAGAACACCAAAACCCTTCCAAGTCGCAGTTAGAAGACAGAAGACTAACGAAAGGAATATTATTCCAAACAGTGTCAATCGTAGTACAAAATTGTCAGGTATTTATAGTTTTTAGTAAGAACGAGAATTCTATATTGTACCAAAATATAATATTGAATAAAGCCATTAATAATAATAATAATCATTACAGTCCTCCAATCCGCATACAGTGTGTTATTAGCCTTATCCAATCGGGAAGCTACAGGTAGGAATTCTAGAATATTCTTCCGAAAGATGATTGGATGGAACATCTTCGTCTCCTTCTGAGCCTCTTACATCTACCTCAAGTTCACCGGTGGTCCGTCGTCACAACTTGCAAACAAGAAGGCAATTATGTGGCTACTTCACCTCCATTCGTGTTTTTCTATCATTGAGAAAAAAAGACATCCCGGGTATTGCTAGCTCCTTTACAGTAAACTGAGGTATCCATATTTCAGATATTCCTATCATATGAGTATTATTAACACTACTGTATTCACGAAGCCCATCCATTTTATTCGGTAAATTCAGGGTATTCATATATAAGCATTTTTGTGCCCTCAATTTGAAACGCGTGAGCTTTCTCTTCCTGTTTATCCGTATGAGCCTTATGCGAATGGACAGGTAACCTACCTACACAGGGTTTTCCGAGTTATTGGCCTCTGTCCTTTCCATGGCTTTTTCGTGATCTTGACAGTCCAGAAGTGGAATAGTCAGCCACAACTTGCCTTCGTGTTTGATCATGGAATGATGTGGCATACCAGGACACATATGAATTCCAGTTGGCAACCAACTTCTGTCGACACGAAATGCTTTAGGAAATGCAGCCGCCATTTGAGAGGATGGGAAGGTTATCTTTAACAGCCGGGGTATAGAATCTCCGTCCATCCTAACTAGTTTCATTGCTTGTTGAGTCACCATTTTTCGAGCTTCAAGGACTGCTTTATGAATTTTCATTCCCGAATGTTATAGTTTGTGTGGCCAGGGTTTGTATTTTACGGTACACTTTGCACAATGATGATTCTTTAGTAATGTTCCGGATGGGATTGAGCTTAGAACACGGTATATCAGCCAGTATTCTTACATTCCCACCTGATTTCAGTTAATGACTAGCTAACAAGACATCCTCTATGTCGGTAGCGTTAGTGAGCGTTACACAAAATAGTCTTGCGTGATTTTGATACTAGGAGTCCTTTTCCCTAGTGAATCATGTGACAGCTAAAAGCCCTATCTTAGGAAGTTCGAGGTTCTTGGTTAACTATCCCGACAGCATCCTGTCATTTTCGTCCTGTAACATGAGGTGGTCAGGACTGTTTTTAGGATCCATGATGATCAGAGAATCATCGTTAACCATGATTGTTTTCCGAGGTTTTCGGGTACTTTCAGGTTGAGGACCTTGTTGTTTGGTGGTTAAGGTGCGTTTCAAATTCCTGTGCTCTTTGTTGACTGGTTGAACATTCTTCAGGGTAGACTGTATGACCAAATCACTAGTTGGTTTCACTACAATACATGGGACGTTCTGCTTCTTAGAAGAAAACATCCGGTCCTTTATAAATTTGTTAACGGGTGTCCGACGGCCCAAGAGCTTTTGATGACCGTCGTTGCATTCAGGGAGCATATGATGTGAGACCCAAATTTTGCTGAGAGAGTCTGGTGCCGACGATTTTATGATGAAGCTGGGCTTCAGTATGTCCTCGCTAGTGTCAATGCATGCATAGACACCAACATCGTTGAAGTCCTTCTTCTTTACTTCAATGAGCGCTTTTGTTTGTTTAACCGTTTTAGGACTATATTTTCTCATGTATGCTGACAATGTTTTCCGCAGACCTCTCAAGAGAATCATGTTGTTCAGCAAGTCTTCAGCATTCATGTTGCACGTACCGACATATAAACCCATGACCCGAATTCCTAAGCTTGTTGTAAGCAGTCACTGCGGACGCCTCGTTGAACCAACCTTTGCAGTTGTCACAGTGCAAAACCCCATCCGGGTCGCTTGCATGTATTCCTGTATGTATGATGTAGAACAAAAAAACAGTACACTAAAACGGATAAAATGGATAAAAAGGAGTTATAAAAAAGGTTAGGATAAACTATAACTAGTTTCGACGTGGAAAACTGAAAAACCGGATAGTAAGCTAAGGCAAAACCATAGTCAACCATAAACTTGAGTAAAACTCAAAAAAGTATTCTGCCAAAAGTTGAGCTCAATACAGATTCTTTGGGTAGAAAACGGTTTTTTTGAGTAATATCCTAGCAGAAGTTTTGGAACTTTAGGACTAATCTCCGCTTTCGTAAAGTGAGCGTCATTTCTGAATCTTGACTAGAAAGTTCCTTATACCTACTTATTTCACATACCTAGATCCATTCTCAGAGACTACAGTGATACATTTCAATTAGACAATTCGGTTTGTTAGGTAAAACTTCTTTCCACCCGTTTAAACTATTTGTAGATTGAAATAAGCTGTGTAGGTCGCCAGTCGATTTGAATTGCTACGCTACAGAAATTAGTAAGCGATGGAAGAAATTGGGTTAGCACCACAAGTTACAAAGGTAGTTTACCTAGGTTAAATAATAGCCATCAAGGAACTTGAGATAACTGAAAGTTCGGGAATAAACTTTGGGCATATAGATCCTCTCCAGCTGAGCGAGGAAGATCTGTATGTAAAACTGAAGGTAACTTATCTCTATACCAGATCTTAGTATCCAATAGGTCCTTGAAAAGCAAATTGAGTTCATTCAGGTACAAGAAAACTATATCAAAGATGAACAGAAAAATTTAAAAAAAGAGTATTTGCATGCCCAAGAAGAAGTCAAGCGTATCAAAAGCGTCCCTCTTGTTATTGGACAGTTTCTAGAAGCTGTCGATCAGAGCACCGGTATTGTAGGATCCACAACCGGTATTTTTTTCTCTCTTCAGTAATTTTTTCTGCCAGGTTCGAATTACTACGTTCGAATATTATCTACAATCGATCGCGAGCTGTTGAAGCCAAGTGCCAGCGTCGCTCTCCACAAACACAGCAATGCTTTGGTTGATGTCCTTCCCCCAGAAGCAGATAGTAGTATCACGATGCTTCAGGCTGGTTAGTTAATTCATTTTCTATGCTTCCGTAAGATGAATACTGTTTTGACTCAGTAGAAACAATCTCAGTCATTCATATCCAACTTTGGTGAGAATATAATTCATGGACGACCTTTGAGTGACGCTACAGGGACCTTGGGAATGTCCACCTGCATGCTACGATTAAATGGGGCCTATAAACCAGCATGAGGAATTAGGATTAATATTTACAGTTTATGGTTAGGGTTAGGAACAAAATATAGGATTTTCATCACGAACTGACATCAACTATAATGCCAAAACTCTATTCAACTAAATGAATAGGTGAATTTCGCGCCAAAATTCAAGACCCGTTATCGTAAATTTGATTGATTTGTCCATGAAGTGTAGTCTCGCCCCAACTTTCAGTAGATACATTCATCTTGAACTTAGTGATTACTCAGTCAAAGAAAATAATTTCTCGCACAACTGATTACTTGTAAAGTTTTATTCTGGCGCGATTAGGTATCGTTAACTCTCATTTAACCCTAGTTGGTGTGTAGAGATCGCCAAGGCCACTAGTGTCGCTCGAAGGTCGTCATCGTGGTTTCATGTAAATGTATGCTATTGCCTCCTTTCCTTTCGGTGATCTATGTCGCTGATGTAAAATTAACTTATCTTCAGGTAAACCAGGCCGTAACTGAATTGCATTTTACTAAGATACTTTAGTTATATTTTTGAATAAAATCCGTGTTTTTATTATCCACTAATGCTTTAATCCAAATAATCACCCCCATCACATACTAGCTACAAGAAATGTAACGATTAACATTTTGGTTTTCGTTGAATATTAGGTATCCATAAATGCTATCAGGTACTCTGTGAAAACCCATGCTTCATATAAAAACCTCAATTGTTTCGTAGCTTTCCAGCCACAAATAACTCGGATCTACATAATATTAACATGGAATAAAGTGATTTTCCTGATGGCCCAATCTTACTGAGATAATTTAGGTCTCCAGATCGATAATCTGCTCACGGAAACAAAAGACTAGTTGCCAATTAACAGAATATTCAAGGGAGCTAGAGCTTATTTTTATGCAACATGTTTAGTCAAGTAGTAAAACATAACAAATTAATAATCAATAGGAAAGGCCATACTAACAAATAATCCGTAAAACCTGTCTCGTAATTGTAACTAACTTTTATTCTTAGTATTATCAAATCCTTTTTACTGTAAATCATTCATGTTTCTACTAAGACAAACATAACTAACAGCTCCCTATACTAGACATTTTTAGCCACATAGGTCAATCGTTATTTAGTCTAAATTTATGTAATGGGACCAGTTATTAAGTAAGATATTAGCTATATACAGTTAATAGTTAGTGAAAATGATATATCTACCGTCTAAAAACTGTATTTGTATACGTATGTACTGTGTATGTTGCAATAGAAACAACAAATATATATTACAAAGCCATTTAAGTATACTTTTGTCTTTGTACGAAACGTAGATCTAGAGTAACTATTATAAATCACTAGAGTGATTATTACAAACATCACAATGACGCGTTCTTTCATTTATTGTAGTGATAGCTATCATATGGGAACTTATTTTGACATCTGTTCATACAGAAGTTAGAAAATCAGAAGTTTTAGTTTGCCGATTATGTATATTCATCGACTTTGATAGACTTCGTTTTGCAAAAATAAATAAAATTATTAAAGTTAAACCTTAATACGTTTTTAGCTAGTTCAGATCATTTATTACCTAGCTATTAGTAAGGCCTCATTTAAGTGAAAGGCATAGTTTACAGTGATGGTGATTGTGTATTGAAAAGTTTCTAGTTTTTTACGTTTATGTTTTAAGAATGATACGCAACACCAATACACGTCCACAAAAACTCATGAATAACTCGGAGATTTTGAACTTACATTCCATTACATATTTGCCTCATAACTACTGAGTCGCCACCTTGCATATTCTGCACTGAGCATAAAGCAGCCTGACTGTCAAATAGCTCTTATTCTATATATCCAAATGCCAACAATATTCATTAGTAACGGAATTCTTTTGTGTTAAAATCTGCATAAATATCCGGTCGACATTTTATGCTTTTTTAGAAATTGTTTCTGTACGACCGCAAGTTTTTCTTAACTCATTTACCGACCGAAGCTGCTACCTTGACGCGGTGGTCGGGCTTGCCTATCGTGATGACCCAACCGAGCTATATTGGCTGGAACATATGTTCCTGTAGGTTCTACCATGCCAGGCAGGTCGATTGGAGAACGGTAAGACTAAAAGCAGCAACTCAAGGTCTGAGGGTGGAGTCGTACTGCTGACTGTAGAGGGGTGTGACAACAGTAAGGTATTTCCCTCGGACAACCAGCATATGCAGCGATGCTGCCTTCCCACAAGGAGGGGTGGGGTTAGAAAAGGTCGACCTTAAAAGTGTCACACCTCACCCTACCTCACGGATTTCCGTCTTCGGCGGTAAGGCCCTTTGAAGCACGGAGCCAACACGTCAAAAACCTTCCACAAAAAGGCCGTGCGCGACCGGCCTCAAGCAGTTGTCCCTTGGGCTCTGCGGTCACGCTCCCAGGTCGTTAAGACCAACACTAATCCAATTTTCTTTTCAGGTTCCTCAAGAAATACTCTTCCACGGTGTGGGCAGCCGAGAAGTGACATCAGCACTCATACCCGTAACAGCACACGAGACCAAGTTGGTCACATTCAAATCCTTCCTACACCTCCTAATACCTCTCTTATCTCCATGACTAACCCTCCTCACGTCTCTTTATCACCTCGCACCGCTAGGGCAAACGATTCGAGTACGTGGAACGCTATTCCTGGTCTCCTGAAACCACGCTCTAAACTACACGTAGGAACTTTTAACGTCCGAACACTGTGCCAAATAGGACAGCAGGCTTCCTTAGCTAGGACTTTAGAATCTCGCACCATTGATGTGTGCTGCGTCTCCGAAACGCACATACAAGATCCGAGTAGCGTCATTCTTTTGACCTCACCATGCCAAAATAAAGAACCGACTCGATTTACGCTTCGTGTATCTGGAAGCCCTGATTCTGCTTCCCGTGGCCTCACCGGCGTAGGTATAGCATTGAGTCCCAGAGCAGAACTATCTCTCTTAGAGTGGATCCCAGTAGACAGCCGTTTGTGCGCTGTTCGATTGAACGGAACAGTAAGAATCCGGAAAGATAGGGACACCCGTCGTTGCCTCTTCGTCGTTTTTGCCTATTCTCCCACTGACTACAGCTCAGATGATGTAAAAGATGAGTTTTACAGAAAGCTTTCCGACCTTCTTCGAAAAGCTAGGCGCTCTGATGTAGTAATAGTGGCCGGTGACTTTAATGCTCAAGTAGGTAAACTAAGCGATAGGGAAAGACACCTAGGTGGATCTTATGGTGTCGTGGCTTAAAGAACAGATAATGGCGACCGCCTGTTGCAGCTATGCTCAGATAATCGCCTGTTCCTTGCAAATACTAACTTTAAGCATAAGGAAAAACATCTTTTAACATGGCGACCCTCTAATTCGTCCCAACGTTGGACCCAAATAGATCACATTGCTATCAGCCACCGATGGAGGGGCTCGATAGAAGACTGTCGCTCATTCTGGAGCACATGCTTAGACTCAGATCATGGTCTAGTGCGAGCGCGTATTTGCTTGCGTCTTACTGGATGTAGGAAAGACGCTGCAAGGAAACCTCTTAAGGGCCTACTTAATGATAGTCAAGCTGAGAGTATATTTCAGGAACAACTAGGAAAACAGTTAGACAGCCATGTATGTGATGCCCACCCCGAGGCAGCATAGAATGATATCCGAAAAGCTGTGGAAACAGCAGTGATATCTGCTAGTAAGGTAAACCAGAAGGTTAGGGGGCAACACTGGATCTCAGCAGCATCTATCGCACTGATAGATGCTCGGAAACTCATTCCACCTGGCTCTGAACATAGTGAAGAGCGGAGTCAGCTTAAGCGCAAGCTGACAAGAAGTCTACGCAATGACCGCGAACAGTGGTGGGTGGCGAAAGCAAGAGAGATGGAAAAGGCAGTGGCAAAAGGTAATAGTAGACAATTGTTCAGACTCGTTAAGGAAACCAGTATTAGGAACCCGACTGTTAGCGAAACACTCAGAGAAAGATGGACATATTATACATTCTCAATCCAGGAGATTGGATCGATGGGCAGAACACTTCAGGGATCAGTTCAACTGGCCTTCAGCCACACTTCGGTTTCCCACGATCTCTAGTCAACCTGAATGGCAAGTTAATGTAAGTCCTCCGTCCCTTTACGAAGTTGAAAAAGCCATAGGAAATCTGAAACGAGGGAGAGCAGCAGGCCCTGACAGGTTAACTCCTGAGATTTTTAAGGATGGTGGTCCAGTATTAGCAATGAGATTAACCGAGGTCTTAGGTAGAATTTGGGAACTGGACGTAATCCCATCTGACTGGTCTCAATCACTGATTATGCCAGTCTATAAGAAAGGACAAAAGTCCTCTTGTGACAATCACAGAGGAATCAGTTTGACTAATATAGTGTCTAAAATGTTAGCTTCAATAATACTTCGACGCCTAATCAAAGCTCGTGAAGAGCAAACTAGAGAAAATCAGGCCGGTTTTCGACCTGGACGTGGTTGTATAGATCAGATATTCACACTACGTCAGGTTCTAGAACACAGACACACGTTCAGACGCCCCACAATGGTAGTATTTCTCGACCTTAAGGCGGCATTCGACTCTGTTGATCGTGAGGTTCTATGGCAGTGTTTGCCACTGAAAGGAGTACCACAGAAGTACATTAACCTTATTCAGGCTCTCTACTCGAACACAACTGGTAGAGTGAGAGCTTATGGCGAACTGTCATCAGAATTGATTACATCAAGTGGTGTTCGTCAGGGCTGTCCACTCTCTCCTTTCTTGTTTAACTTTGTCGTTGACGTGCTTTTAGAGATGACCCTTTCCTCATCTAAATTTACAGGGGTTGAACTTCTACCAGGAGGTTCACTTGTTGACTTAGAATATGCCGATGACATAGTTTTATTTGGTGAAGACGCTGACAAAATGCAGAGTCTTCTGACCACTCTAAGCAACAATGCAAGCATGTTCGGGATGCGATTCTCTCCCTCGAAATGCGAAATGTTGCTTCAGGATTGGGTTGCATCGACACCCGAACTAATGATAGGGAGTGAAGTAATTGAGTGTGTCGACCGCTTCACTTATCTTGGAAGTTTCATCAGCCCTTGTGGTCTGGTGTGTGACGAAATCTCAGCACGGATACAGATGGCTCGACTAGCTTTTACCAACTTGCGCCATTTATGGCGTAGGCGAGATATCCGTCTATCAACCAAAGGACGGGCTTACTGCGCAGCAGTTCGTCCCGTTCTACTTTATGGCAGTGAAACATGGCCGGTAAGAGTAGAGGATATTCGTAGGTTACTAGTATTTGATCATAGGTGTCTTCGAAACATTGCTCGTATATCATGGGACCACCGAGTAAGTAACGCAGCTGTTAGGAAACGAGTACTAGGTAAGGATGGCAAATCAATTGATGAAGTAGTGAAACTTCATCAGTTGAGATGGCTGGGACACGTGTTACGTATACCCAACCACCGACTGCCCCGACGTGCAATGTTGAGTGGCATAGTTGTAGGTTAGAAGAAAGCTAGGGGCGGCCAGACCAAAACATGGCACAAATCCATGAAGTCACTGACAAGTGGTCTAAGTCATGTTGGTAGGTGTAGACTACCTGGTTGGGGACCGCGAGATGATAGCAACCGATGGTTAGAGACCTTGAATGACATGGCTCAAAATCGTTTGCAATGGCGCAGATGCATCCACTCTTTGTGTTCTCCCGAATTCTAATCTTCTGAATTCTTCATGTCCCTTCCTTTTTTCCTCTTTCCAAATTTATTTCACTGAATTATACTCTTTAAATAACATCTCCGAACCCTAATCTTCCCGAACACTGCTTACACTCTTGCTACCTCTACCACAATTGGATTTGAATCGACAACTGCATCTCTGCGTTAAGGTGGTGTGGCAACTCGAACTGATGTACGTACGTACGAAGTTCTACGTTGTTACTGACTGACTGACTTTCAATGATTCGTCCTCGTGTCTTTTTTGATAATAATAATCAAATATTTAAACCTCATAACTTTGGCCCAACTACACAACGTAAACAAGATATACTTCTACTCATTTGTTTTTCTTTGAACCTTCAGATGAGAAACCCGATGTATCCTACTCTGATATTGGTGGTATGGATATGCAGAAGCAGGAAGTGAGAGAAGCTGTTGAATTGCCTTTAACTCATTTCGAATTATACAAGCAAATTGGGATTGATCCACCTAGAGGTGTCCTAATGTATGGTCCTCCAGGTTGTGGGAAGACAATGTTAGCCAAAGCAGTCGCGCATCATACTACTGCCGCTTTTATTCGTGTTGTTGGATCGGAATTTGTCCAGAAGTATCTGGGAGAAGGTCCTCGAATGGTTCGGGATGTGTTTCGTTTGGCTAAAGAAAATGCTCCAGCAATCATATTTATCGACGAAATCGATGCTATCGCCACTAAGCGGTTTGATGCTCAAACTGGAGGTAAGCTTTCTCAAAAATTTTGAACAACTGTGTACATCCCTTCCTTGTTCAAACCAAAATAACCTTTAGAAGAATGCTTATTTCAATTATTTGGTTTATTTATTTTATTTATTTGAATACATAAATATTGGTATAAAGGGGCAGCAAACGCATATGTGCCATACAAGTCACTTATTTGTATGTGGGCTGTGATACTGCCCAGACCGAAGCAGGTGGTTTTCTTAGGGAGCCATACCTGGAGCCTTTGACCTAAAGGTCCGATCCGCAAGGCAGTGGGGCGACGTCAAGAAATGCAGTCTCATGGTAGCCGGTGACCAATAATTGGTCCATACGCTATTTGTTCCTTCAGGATCATGGAGTCCATGTACACCATTGGTTTGAAATCAGGGTTTTACAACTCTAAGTGCACCCCCGTTTCCACCAACTCGGTTACAGCGCCGGATATTCGCTTTTTGTCCTCCCAATTTAGTAAACAACGCCCATGCCGCGAGAAGGCAGTGAGTAGGACTTCTCTGGCAGTGGCTGTATACGCGTGGCCACGTGAGAGCATTTCGAGAGGGAGAGCTAACTCTCCCCACCGTCAGTCGTGCCAGGGCATTTGGGGGCCAATGAGGTGGCGCAAGTGACTTCATGTAATTCGCAACTCATGTCTTCCAGTTTCCTGTTTTCTTCTCCATACTCATATTAAGTATAAGTACACAAAAAATCGAGCAAAATAAGAACTGATACAAATAAAAATCAGTTCGAGTTGTAATGGTTCACATCACAACATCTGGATGATTCTACTATGTTCAATATACAGTGATCATCTAGCTTCACAGAGGCTGTTATCTTGGCGTTGAGACTTTTAAATGTATGGAAAAAGCTTTATCGCCGAACATATGTCGCCTCTGATTGTCGTCGGACATGCATTTCTAGCACTTGTTTCGTCATATAAAGACGTCTCTCTTTGAAACTTACTTCATTTCAGTCACATAGTCTTACCCCTCTTCTACATAGTATAACTAACAAATCAGAACTATTCTTCGTAAATAAGTAACATTTATTGTTAAGACTAATCAAAGCTTTACAATTTTGCAACATTCACCAGCTACATATGGAGGCCTAGAAAGTTCGAATTTATCAACAACCCAGCAAAACCCTACAATAACAAATAAACGTCCGTGTGTTATGTTTTCCAGCCACACATATAAGATCTAACTACGCTTACTTAATTGACTTTATCTAACTCCCATACTGAATTTTTACAATCTTTCTTAAAACCTATTGACTAGTGACTTTTGGTTTTTCAGACATGTAGTATACAACTGATTTGGTGCATAAACAATGTACTCTTAGATTTAATCACTATCTCTAATTGGTTATATGATTAGCTGTTTGGCAAAGGCTATAAAAGGCAGTATTAGTGAAGGGGGAGGGCAATTTAGACAATGAGCAGAATGTATATTGTCATAATTTCCCAAATATTCTTAGATCTAAACTAAAATATGCTCAAGGCTTAATTAAAACTTCGGTTTAAAGACAAGACCACAAAAATCGCGTATTGAAAAGGGTACTGTCTAGACTCACGTTTAGGTGTGGAAACGATTCTCGTTCAAATATCGTCTACTTTCACGTTCAATTTGTTTATGCATCTCATTGGTTTTTAATTCATCTCTGTTTCGTAAATAATGTCCGCGTTGTTGTCTCTATTCCGTTGCTTTAATCTCTTTTTCGCTGTCTTAGCGCGAAATATAGCAAATAAGGCTATCGTTTTTGTTAGGTTCATTTTAGGGCTAAGTCATCAATAAAAAAGGACAGATGAGTTAGATTACGGTAAAATGAATTTTAATTAAACCAACTAATTCCCCATGTACTTGGGTGGGCATAAACCACACTAATTGTTAGGAGCAATAATATTATCGGGTGGTGAGTGGAGTTCAAACCTGGGACTTACTGGTTGGAAGTCGAACTCCCTTACCATTAGGCTACCATTTGACAGTAAAATGCAAGCAATACAGCAAAAATTACGAGTACACTCTAGGTGTTATCATGATATTTGCCACTTACAACTGTTTGGTAAAGATTCTAATTATGTTCCATTCGATACTATTATTACTATCACTAGCTGACCGTGAAGTACAGCGTATCCTATTAGAACTGTTGAACCAAATGGACGGATTCGACCAAAACGTAAATGTGAAGGTGAGTTTTCTGGACAAGTTTATTTTTATAGTACAGAAATTCACAACCCCACTTGTTTATATGATACATGGATTGTCAACATCACTAGTTTCTACTGTTGAATTGTTTCATTTTTTCGAAATTTTCCTGAATCCCGATTCACAGTCCTGTTCCTCAACGGTTTTTTTAAAAGAGACGAGATTCAAGGTTGAATGACTCCGACTTGTCTTGTTCAAAACTTCATAATTTTAAATCATACTCTTCAATCATGTAACTGTTTGAACAAGCAGTAGTGACATCATTTGATGCAACCTTATTGATTTGGGATTTACTGGCTTGCAAAACATTTCAGCAGAAGTTGTTATAATCACTTGGGCTACTATGTATTTTTGTACTCCACTAAGGCCATAGTGCTGGTAACCAGGAACCAAAAAAAGGATCGCATTCACTATAGATAGAAACAACTATTTTCACTATCATTATTTGATGTTAACTACTATAACTTAGTGCATGGCTTTTTCAAGCACATATTAGTGGGAAAATATAATCTTTCTTCATATTTTCATCTGTCTACCATTGCTTTCGATAAAACATCGCAGTTCTCAAAGTGTTTTTCCTTTATGCGTTGCTTTTTCATTGCTAAAAGTGATGTAAGTGCAAGACATCAGAACTCAAAGGTAACACTTGACGTCTCTTTGAATTGAGGGTTTCATACGTTATGTTTACCGCCAGACATGGATATCAATCAGCTCAGTATTGGTTAGTTAATTCTCAGATAACTTCACCTTGATCATTCTTAGGTTATGGAGATTATTTGATATCACCGAAATCGCGAACCGATCAAAGTTAGTCAACTATCGATAACTTGAAGATACTGGATGGGCGTTTTTTCCTAGTGTGGAACTACTCAATCGCAAGCGGGAATCAAGCATAGAACCTGCTGTCTCGCACGCGAACACCTAACCTCTAGGCCACTGGGTCTTGATCCAATATTGTACATTATGCGGGGTCGTGTATGCGTATTAACAAAGAGTCCCATATTAGGATGAAACGGCCGTCGAATGCTTTCAGGTTTTCAATTGTAGTCCAACTTCGATCAGTCCATGATTTCTAAGAAGTCCTCAGATTACATGGATAATTTCTAATTTTGTTTAATTTCACTATGAGCTCGTACATATGCCTATTTAAGTAGTTATTAAATAAATGAGGGATACTAGGTCTGTTACTCTATGCCATGTAAAACACTCATCAACCTACAATAACAGTTGGTTGCATTTATTTTATTCAGGTTATCATGGCTACAAATCGTGCTGATACATTAGACCCAGCACTTTTGCGCCCTGGTCGACTTGATCGCAAAATCGAATTCCCAATGCCAGATCGTCGTCAAAAACGCCTTATTTTTTCAACTGTCACCAGCAAAATGAATCTCAGTGATGATATTGACTTGGAAGATTATGTTGCACGACCAGATAAGATCTCTGGTGCAGACATCAACGCTATTTGCCAAGAGGTAATATTTCTGCATTATCAAGTAACTCATTTCAAATACATCTTCAATATATATCGTGATTTGTTTTCCGTAACCCAATGTTCTAATATTTTGTTTCATCTACTGAGTGTGTTTATGACTGACATTCTCATTTCACTATTTACACAGTAGATTTCTCTTTAAAACAGATTGTAAAACTTGCTTCATACTTTTATTTTTTTTAGGCTGGAATGCAAGCAGTTCGAGAAAATCGTTATGTTGTTCTAGCAAAAGATTTTGAAAAAGGTTACAAAAATAGTTTAAAGAAAGATGAACAAGAACTGGAATTTTACAAGTAGCCAAATTTCACCTGTTTTGATGACTATACCGTAATATAAGAATTGTAACAACATCTCTAATCTCTCATAGTGCGTGTAAATAAATTTGCTAAAACAATATTTTCCTGTCTCACTTGTATTGAGTAGTGGACCGAACTGAAAATATGTAGACAAATATAATAACATAAATTTATGCTAAATTAATATCGGAACTAATCGTGAATAGTTGCAATTATCCATTACATCCTGATTCTGAAAATGCACGCTTTATGTGCTCAACTAAAGGGAGTTTGGATAATTTTTTATTTATTCAAACACATACTAATACAAGGGGGCACCACACAAATCATTCGATTTATGTGAAGGCTAGGACACTGTCGATGTGCCCAGACCGAAGCAGGTGGTTCCCTAGGGGGGTTTTGACTTAGAAATTTAACCTACGATGCAGTGAAGAATGCTAGATGGAGTTTCATGTTAGCCTGTGATCAACAGAAGGTTCATACACTATATGTTCCCTCAGTATCCTGGAACCCTTGCACACCGCTGGTTTGGAATCAGGGTTTTCCAACTCAGGTAGGTATATTCTTTATATCCAACAACCCGATTTAATCCCCGGATATTCGCTTTTTGTCCTCTCAATTTCATAAACAACAATCCTGCTGTGATGAGGCAATGAGTAGTGATTCCATGACAGCGGCTGTATATACGTGGCCATGTGAGCATTTCGTGGGAGAACGGACTCTCCGCCCTCGGCTTTACTAGAGCATTTAGGGGCTATTCAGAGAAACATCCCACTAAATGTCCCCACACGCTCGGGCGTGCCAGTATCCGTGACGAGATATAAACCGGCTGCTTGGACGTGGTACTCTAGGTGCAGTCTTGCAAAGATGGAACATAAGATTCGAAGCATTTCCTAGTCAAAGCATTTGGGTGCTAGGCGAAGTGACCACAATACATTTTTTTTCAATTCTTTGTGCTCCTGCACTTATGGAAGCGATGTACCGTTGATAGTATACTGGCGACCATTTCCACATCTGGTGCGTATAAAAACAATCATGCTAGAAATAAATTCTAAGTCTAACATTGGGATCGCCTAACTAATTCATCTAAGTCAGCTTGGTGATAAGCCTTACTACTTAAAGGTTCTCCAGATTTTGACATAATCTGCGAACGATAGTGCTGACAACTTAAATCGTTGACATAGAGAAGGGAAAGTAAGGGACGTAAGTTAGACTGTTGGGGTGCGCAATTTTTAACCGGCTACCAAGCGGATAGGTTCCCATTAACACTCTCTCTTCGATCACATAAGAAGCTCTCTATCCACTCCTGTTATCTAGAAGCCCGAGAGCTTCTACATAAGACCTGAGTGCTTTGCTAGAGTCTATGAATATCACATAGAGAGACCGCTATCTAGGGCTGCTGTCCAATCATCTCTCGCAATCAGTTGGCTAAGCACGAAGTCATGTTCCGAAACCTCTGTTGCTCAGTTGTTGTCAGATTGTATAACTCTAAATGATTTAGCCTGAAATATTTTTCCAATTAATTTCAATATAGGGCTAACTTTAGCATCCTTCCAATTACTAGGGAGTTGAATGTGGGCAAGGGACGTGTTGAACAGCATCGTGAATGGTCCTGAAGTAGCGTCTGCGAGAGATGACAGCAGTTATGGATGTAACCCATTGAGAACCCTTGTCTTACTAGGTCGGAAGTTAATGATCAACCGTAAAACAGTCTCCTCAGTCATATCTACAGGCTCTGTAGCTGGTATCACAGTAGTGTGGTTATGACAAGCGTTGTTAACAATACCTATAAGATAGACTTCACTGAAAGTTTTATAAAGTCTCAGCTTAGGTAAATCTGATTCATTTAATATATTTGAATTTTCGTGCAACAATAATGAAGGAGTTCCATCGCTGCTTTTTGTTCTCCGATCAATGTACGAAAACCTGTCTTGAAAAGGTACGACTATTAAATGCTAACTGTCTATCGTAAGTTGTGCGGCACCTAGCTATGATCGTTTCTCATATTTCCCGGAACTTTCGACAATTAACCTTGTATGATTCGTGCCCTGCTGGCAAGTATAAGTCTCGGAAGTTTTCAGGCTTCTTTACCAGTCTATTAAGGGCAATGTGATAGCCTACGTGCAAACCATGGAATATACGGACACAAATATGGCTTTAACTTTATTTCATTCGTCCTTGATTTTCCAATCTGAATTGGTCAACTAATCTTCAGTGATAACACAGTCTCTCATTACCGAAAATTTAGCCGCAAAATATCAGGACGTTGCGAAGCAGATACATGTGCATACTATGTCCAAAACCGATGTATCGGCGAGAGTGGTGAAGACAGGTTTGCTCAGTCTGACTAGTAGATAGTCTTACAGGTGTTAGATGGGTCATTTATTCTCCTGTCCTTATTGTTATTGTGATTGATGTCGGTTTCAGGTGTCCGCGTCTCACTGGAGGTGGCAGGGACACTTCAAGGAAATCTCTTAGGGTCCTACTTAGAGATAGTTAAGCTAAGAATATATTTCAGGAACAACTAGAAAAACAGTTAGGCAGCTATCCAAGTGGTGCTCACCCCGAAGAAGCGTGGAATGATATCCGAAAAGCTGTGGAGAGAGCAGTGATACCCGCTAGTACGGTAAACCATACTAGAGGATATTCGTAGGTTACTAGTATTTGATCATAGGTGTCTTCGAAGTATTGCTCGTATATCCTGGGACCACCGAGTAAGTAACGCAGCTGTTAGGAAATGGGTACTAGGTAAGGATGGCAAATCAATTGATGAAGTAGTGAAACTTCATCAGTTGAGATGGCTGGGACACGTGTTACGTATACCCAACCACCGACTGCCCCGACGTGCAATGTTGAGTGGCATAGTTGTAGGTTAGAAGAAAGCTAGGGGTGGCCAGACCAAAACATGGCACAAGTTCATGAAGTCACTGACAAGTGGACTGAGTCATGTTGGTAGGTGTAGACTACCTGGTTGGGGACCGCGTGATGATAGCAACCGATGGTTAGAGACCTTGAGTGAAATGGCTCAAAATAGTTTGCAATGGTGCAGGTACATCCATTCTGTGTTCTCCCAAATTCTAATCTGATTCCTCCTTGTTTCTTTTTTTCTCTTTCCAAATTTATTTCACTGGATTATACTTCTTGAATAACGCCTTCAAATCGCTTTTCGACTACTGCTTATACTTTTACTACCTCTACCACTATGGGATTTGGATCGGCAACTGAATCTCTGTGCTAACGCAGTATGGTAACTCGGACTGATGTACGTACGTACTAAGTTCTACGTTGTTACTGACTGACTGAAACCATAAGGTTAGGGAGAAACACTGGATCTCAGCAGCATCTATCGCACTGATAGATGCTCGAAAACTTATTCCATCTGGCTCTGAACATGACGAAGAGCGGTGTAAGCTTAGGCGCAGACTGATAAGAAGCCCAAGCGATGATCGTGAACACTGGTGGGTATCGAAAGCAAGAGAGGTGAAAAATGCAGCGGCAATAAATAACAGCAGACAACTGTTCAGACTCGTTAAGGAAACCGGTATTAGGAACCCGACTGTTAGCGAAACACTCTCAGAGAAAGATGGATATATTATTCATTCTCAACCCAGGAGATTGGATCGATGGGCAGAATACTTTAGGGATCAGTTCAACTGGCCTTCAGCCACACTTTGGTTTCCCACGATCTCCAGTCAACCTGAATGGCAAGTTAATGTAAGTCCTCCAACTCTTTACAAACGTGAAAAAGCTATGGAAAATCTGAAGCGAGGGAGAGCAGCAGGCCCTGACAGGTTAACTCCTGAGATTTTTAAGGATGGTGGTTCAGCATTAGCAGTGCGATTAACTGAGGTCTTAGGTAAAATTCGGGAACTGGACGTAATCCCATCTGACTGGTCTCAATCACTGATTGTCCCAGCATATAAGAAAGGACAAGTCCTCTTGTGACAATCACAGGGGAATCAGTTTGACTAATACAGTGTTTAAAATAATAGCTTCAATAATACTTCGACGCCTAACTAAAGTTTGTGAAGAGCAGACTAGAGAAAATCAAGCTGGTTTTCGAACTGGACGTGGTTGTATAATAATAAATTCTCAAATACCTGTTTGTTACATGAGACATGCCAGTTTACAGGTAAGATCAAATCATTACAAATGTTACACTTTCCACTGTGGTAAATTACTCAGCTGGGTTAATGATTTATACGATATGATTGTAGATGGTTTTAGTCAGTATCACAGTTAAAGCGCTTTATAAAGGTTGCGATGTGACTTGCTACTGATGGTCAAGGATAGACCCACTGAAGGTGGGAGCTTGTACCCTTTATACCCCTTTGGAATATCTGAGGCTTTAATGATGTTGCAGGACGAAGAAACACTGTAGTGGTAAATAAATCCCCAAAATAAATAGCTCTGTAAGTTTTTGACATTGAATGCTGATCTCTTCGATTCTGTCTTTTGATTTCTCTTGGTGGGTACGAGTTATATTAGGTGTTACTGATTAAAGCGTTGTCAAACACTGAATGCCTGTGCCATCTTCAACCCGTTCCATATCTGTTTTCAGTGGTTTATCTCTAGGGGGCTGGAAAAGGGTGCAAGAAAAAGAAAGGACAAGAGGTAGGGCAGACAATGTTCACGAAAGAATTGCTAAGGTATGACTACTCAGTCTAATTATCTTTTATTAACCATTCATTAAGCGAGAGCATTCTAATAGGTTAAAGAAAGGAAGTATGAACAAGTTATGAGTGGATAAACAACTGACAAATTGAGGTGGCTCAGAAAGGAGCTGAGAGTACGGAATTCAGTCCTTAGTTTTCAGTAACAAGGGTAATAGGTTGGTGAATCTGTGTTAATCCTGACAGATTGCCTTCCAGTGAAGGTCCAGTTTTCTTTTGAAAATATTCACTGATGCGGCTGATACCACTTGTTCGGGTAAGGCGTTTCGATGAGAAAAACGGGACACCACTTTAAGTTTATTAGATCGCGGTCTATCAACCTTCTTGCTATGACCTCGGAGATTATTAGTGCTGAAGGGATCAAAAAGATAAGACATATTAACGCCCAAATCATAATTAAAGATACGAAATGCCAGTATAGGGTCAC